TGTAGTATCAGAAGCACATGACCAAGTAGGTTCAGAGAGAGATAATTGATCCCAAAGAGCATGCATTTCAGAGACAAAGGTACTGATAGATTGACCAGGCTGTTGAATTTTGCTGTGAAGATTGGGCAAAAGTTGATACTGATGGGCGAGATCAATAGTGGTGTAGCAATGCTTCAGAAAATCCCAGATAGATTTTGCAGACTCAAAACGACCAAATTCGATACTAATGGATGAGATAGAGGTGTTGCGAAACCAACTGATAATCTGATGATATTTGCAGTCCCAATCTTCAAGGCGATCATCATATTTTTCTTTTGTTTCGGTTTTGTCTTGCACCAACTCGAGGATGTCGCCAGTGACAATTCGCCATAATTTCTTACCTTTGAGAAAATTGGTCATAGCTTGGATCCAAAGAATGTAATCTGAAAATGAATTTTATTCTCCCATCACGTTGGAGAAGGTTGCTAAAGGAGAAGTCAAACTTAGAGTTCCTGATGATGCTTTTAGTAAGCATTTAGAGTTTGACAGAAATACTGGTTGTATGTTTGTGGTTGCACAAGACATGTATGGGTTGAAGATTGAGAGCCCGAGGGTTAAGTTTGAGGATGAGTCAAACTTAACTAAAATTCTTTATTGATTTATTTTGTTGGAGATGATAATCGCGTTGTTGCTCACATTGCGGTGAAGGAAGACTCGTTATAGTATTGTCTTACCAATTATGCTAAGGGGGAAAATTTTGCCAAAGGTGGAGAATTTTGCCAAGGTGGAGATTATTGGAAATGTGGCTCAATTCTAGAAGCATTGATTTGTTTGGCAGTACATCTTTGTTGACCATTTGAAGCCATATTGGATCACATGTGTTGGTATTCAATTTGAACACTCCAGCCAACTTTTTTTGATCTAGAAGCCCATGAGGAGAATGTGTGTTTGAGCAAGCTTGTGTCATTGCATATGTCTTCAAGAGGCGGAATTGCGCTATAAATAACCCTTGTATCTCATAAGTTCAAATCATTCGAAAATGATCTAAGAGCATCCAAGTGAGGATCAATTCGGATCAAGAGAGTATATTGGTGTTGTGTGTGAAAGAAAATCCTTTTGTGTGTGCAACCTTCAAGTGAAACTTGAAACTTGTCTTTGGGTGGATTTTCCTCTTTGTGTAAACCATATACTATTTGGGGTATTTCTAAAGAGTGTTATGTGACTCTTGTTTGTGTGTGAGTGAGTGGTGGGAGAAGAGAGATTATGAGGGGAATTGTTGTGCGGAAGCGTTCCCGAACAGATATACCCACAAAGATGGGATATCCAAGTAACAACCATAATTAAAATGATAGAGAAAATAGCACACCACAAGACAGGATTTATACGTGGTTCACCCTCCCAATAAGGCTACGTCCACAGCCGATGACGATCCATATCACTTTAAAGAAGAAGATACAAATTGAAGAACTTTTTGGTTCTTCCCCACAATAATCTCTCTTCTCACACCTCTCACTCACACACAAAGAAGACTCACACAATACTCTTTAAAAATACACCAAATAATATATGGTTTACACAAAGAGGAAAACCCACCCAAAGACAAGCTTCAAGTTTCACTTGAAGATTGCACACACAAAAGGATTTTCTCACACACACAAAACCAATATACTCTCTTGATCCGAATTGATCCTCACTTGGATGCTCTTGGATCATTTTTGGATGATTTGAACTCCTGAGATACAAGGGCTATTTATAGCCCAATTTTGCATCTTGAAGACATATGCAATGACATAAGCTTGCTCAAACACACATTCTCCTCATGGACACATTCTCCTCATCAGTTGCTAGATAAAATAAAAAAAAAAGTGGGCTGGAGTGTTCAAATTGAATACCAACACATGTGATCCAATATGGCATCAAGTTTCACTTGAAGATTGCACACACAAAAGGATTTTCTCACACACACAAAACCAATATACTCTCTTGATCCGAATTGATCCTCACTTGGACGCTCTTGGATAATTCTTGGATGATTTGAACTCTTGAGATACAAGGGCTATTTATAGCCCAATTATGCCTCTTGAAGACATATGCAATGACATAAGTTTGCTCAAACACACATTCTCCTCATGGGCTGCTAGATCAAAAAAAGTGGGCCGGAGTGTTCAAATTGAGTACCAACACATGTGATCCAATATGGCTTTAAGTGATCAACAATGATGTGCTACCAAACAAATCAATGCTTCTAGAATTGAGCCACATTTCCAATAGTCTCCACCTTGGCGAAATTCTCCACTTTTGGCAAAATTTCTCCACCTTAGCATAAATGGTAAGACAATATCATAACGAGTCTTCCTTCACCGCAATATGAGCAACAACGCGATCATCATCTCCAACACAATAAATCAATAAAGAATTTTAGTTAAGTTTGACTCATCCTCAAACTTAACCCTCGGGCTCTCAATTTTAACCCATGCATGTCTTGTGTAACCACAAGCATACCCCCAGTATTTCTATCAAACTCTAAACGCTTACTAAAAGCACCATCAAAAACTCTAAGTTTGACTTCTCCTTTAGCAACCTTCTCCAACCGCCCACGAACCACCAGTTGGTAGTGAAAAGTCATCTTCTCACCCTTGTGGAGAATAGGACGTCCTTGACTTTTCCTCGCATCTCTATTGTGACCAACTACTTGCCTCCCACAAATCTTAATGACATTCGAATGGACTATCTCATTGCCACCAAGATTATTGCAAGTCAATATCACACCTGTCCTCATAGGTCTGCCTGCCTGTAAGGATTGCTGCAATTTCGGTTGCCATCTGAAAATGGATTTCATTCTCCCACCACGTTGTGTAGTCCCCTCACAACCCTTTGAGAACTAGGATCATAACTCCTCTTTCTAACTCTTCCTTTGCCAAAAGTGTGTAGTCTCTGTTTCAGATAAAGTTTGTTGGTGAGTCGTATCTGGTCGTCATTATAAAATACTTCCAAAAAAATTTCTCGGTGAAAAGTACCGTATTTGTGAACAGTACTCGAATAGTATCTGTGAACAGTACCGTACGTATGAACAGTATTTAAAATGATAGAGAAATAACACACCACAAGACAAGATTTATACGTGGTTCACCCTCCCAATAGGGCTACGTCCACAGCCGATGACGATCTGTATCACTATAAAGGAGAAGATTACAAATTGAAGAGCTTTTTGGTTCTTCCCCACAATAATCTCTCTTTTCACACATCTCACTCATAAACAAAGAAGACTCACACAACACTCTTTAGAAATACCCCAAATATTATATGGTTTACACAAAGAGAAAAATCCACCAAAAGACAAGCTTCAAGTTTCATTTGAAGATTGCACACACAAAAGGATTTCTCAGACACATAACCAATATACTCTCTTGATCCGAATTCATCCTTACTTGGATGCTCTTGGATGATTTTCGGATGACTTGAACTCATGAGATACAAGGGCTATTTATAGCCTAATTTTGCCTCTTGAAGACATATACAATGACATAAGCTTGCTCAAACATTCTCCTCATGGACTGCTAGATCAAAAAAATGGGCTGGAGTGTTCAAATTGAATACCAACACGTGATCTAATATGGCTTCAAGTGGTCAACAATGATGTGCTACCAAACAAATCAATGCTTCTAGAATTGAGCCACATTTCCAATAATCTCTACCTTGGCGAAATTCTCCACCTTTGGCAAAATTTCTCCACCTTAGCATAAAAGGTAAAATAATACCATAATGAGTCTTCCTTCACCGCAATGTGAGCAACAACTCGATCAACATCTCCAACAAATAAATCAAATTTTAGTTAAGTTTGACTTAAACTTAAACCCTCTGGCTCTCAATCTTCAACCCATGCATGTCTTGTGCAGACACAAGCATATCCCAGTATTTTTGTCAAACTCTAAACACTTACTAAAAAGAACCATCAAAAACTCTAAGTTTGACTTCTCCTTTAGCAACCTTCTCCAACCGCTCACGAACCACCGGTTGGTAATGAAAAGTCACCTTCTCACCCTTGTGGAGAATAAGACGTCCTTGACTTTTTCTCGCATCTCTATTGTGACCAACTACTTGCCTCTCACAAATCTTAATGACATTCGAATGGACTATCTTATTGCCAACAAGATTATTGCAAGTCAATATCACACTTGTCTTCATAGGTCTGCCTCCCTGTAAGGACTGTTGCAATTTCGGTTGCCATCTGAAAACGGATTTCATTCTCCTCCCATCACGTTGTGTAGTCCCCAAACAATCCATTCTATATAGCATAGAACCTCCACCATTGCCACAAACTCCCAGTCATTGACTGCCTCAAGTTTGAAATCCAAAAGCCTCCATCTCCCACCGTACATAATATAATCCAACAAAAGAAGCAGCCTTACCAAAGCAATTCCATACAAATCTGGAAAAGATTCTTTCAAACTTGCATCCCCGCACCATTTTCATGCCAAAAGTTAACTTTGCCCCATCTCCCATTTATGAACTCATACCAACCACTTCTAATACATTTCCATAGTTCAACCCCATACACCTATTCACCTATTTTTACTCTAACCTCCAGGTATCTCCCTAGAGGCCCCTATACTTTGTTACCAGAACTCTTCTTAACAGAGGTCATTAAAGCAAAAGCTTGTTGTCCTAGCAAATTATTATTCTTTCTTTACCATACAAATACCTAGGAGTTCAACTTTAGTATTTCTCTGATGCTTAAAAGATTCAGCTTTTGCTGCAAATAGGCCCTAAAGTCTGAAGCAGAACCAGAAAAAATTTCATGTAAAAGTAGTAGAGGATGTTGCATCCACACATTCGGTATATAATTACCCATGTATAGTAAAGGGACATTACCCAGTTCTGATCCCACAATAATATACCCATGCACAGTATTTGAAACAAAGAACAAAATATACCCATGCACAATATTTGGAACAAAGAACATAGTTTATTTGGCAGTTACTGTGGAGCTTCAGTGTCAGATATGTAGATGAAATGCTTACCAGTAGATCTAAATAGTCTGGGTTCACCATATATGGTAGTGAAGACAAATGTTTGGTTTGTCCCCTGCAACAAACATTAGGCAAGAAAGTCCAATGTCAGCATACTAAGCAAAGATAGGTCGAAAAAGAAAAGCAAACAGAAAAGGGATGTGTGTTTGTTTTATTTTATAACCACTTCAGAAAGATAATTGCATACTTACTTGATACTTTCTCTTTGCAGTAGGTTTCAAAGGGCACTCTAGAAGCCCACCAAACACAGCACCTTGCATATCTCCAGCAATCTGGGTGAACAATATGATTCACATTATTCCCCACTTAAAATTTTTATGAAATAATCCAAAAGTCCAGAACGTCTTAATTTTCTTTTGAAAAACTCAAAAAGTTACCAAAATATAGGAGCATTAATAGAATATGGATGTGAAAATACCAGCAAACAGACACCGGAGAGATCAGCACTTTTACGAATAAGTGTACGAAGTGATATACCATGTTTGACCGTACTGCCCTTCATTTGAAAGAATTAAACATATATCAAGATCCCGTCGCAATGACACAAGACCACTTCCAATATAAGCTATGAATACCATTCAAATCTTACCTATACAACAAGACCCATTGACACCCTTTCACTATATTAGGAAGGGACGACTGCAAAAACTCATACATGTCATAATTAATGAAGGAAGATTCTTCTGTGAGATACGGCATTGACTTTTCCATACAATGTGGGTCGGTTGCATCTTCAAACATGTCAGAACCATTTGTACTTGTCCCGGAGCCAGGATCTCCATATTCATCGTGGGGACTAAATGTTCCCTTGTTCTTACTTTCCGTGCTCCTTCCAGACCCATGCTCTTCATCTTCTTCGTTGGGACATTCCGCATAGCTATTCAGGGGTTTATCTTGCCATGATAAATTTCTACTATTCCATCTAACAGGAAGTGATTGAATTGGTTTAATATCATGCTGATGCTTGTTTGATCCGAATCCATACAATCCAGCTGAGGGGAGAATAAAGGAAAGTATTGATGACAAAGATTTTCCATCCTTAGAGTATTGCCTGACCTACACATTTAAAATATAATGTTACAAATTTAAATCTGTAAGATTCAACTGCAACCAAAATGATAATGAAAGGAATGAAAACAGGTGTCACAATTCAGCATCCGATTGTCAAACTAATAAAGGTTTGTTGACTTCCAACACATCTCCTAAGCAAGCAAAAACTAACTTAACACAATAACTAACTAAGAAAGTAAAGGGGAGAGGGGGTGGGGAATCAAATTAGAGTTTAGTTATCCCTCCACCAAAGACAAATGTACAAGATGTCCATAAAATTGAAGCATTGATACAAAAGGCGAATAGCAAACTTTTACCTGGGGTTTACTACCTAAATAACTGAGATGATATTCAAAACATTAGCTAAAATCAACCTCACCGAAAAAGAAAAAAAAAATCAGCATTAGCTAAATCCATAGATGAATATTGAAATCTTTTAGATTCATGAGTAGCAAAAGTTTGCCTCACCGACAATTAAATTAATAGGCAAACCAGTAGCACAAGCTATATCATCAGGGTGGGAGAAGAGATCACAACATGGAAGACAACATAATTCTATTTTGAGTGCAAACGAATCCTATATAGCACAGAGAAGGTTAAAAAAAAAAAAAACCCAAACAAAAACAAACCGAAACTTTTTTCTTTTATTTATTTTTTTTTCCCATGCTGAAACAACGTAATCAAACGAGTGAAATTTTCAAACCCAAATATCAGTTAAAGTTCACTACTTCACAATTAATTTCTTTTCAGCATTTCGCATCCGTACAACTGCATTATCTAATCAAAACCAGATCTAAAATTTTCCAGAGGGAGATCAAAAGCAAAAACCACATTAATCTGATGGGGAAATTAATTAAGCCACCAGAATAAATCACAAATATATGCATATGTGTGCGCGTGCGCGTGTGCGTGTGCGTGTGTGAAAGTTTATATATAGATGTATATGATCAGATTACGGAGTGGAAGAAGAAGTAGAAGTAAGGGAATACCTGAGGTTGATCTAGTGCTGGAGATGTGGAAGAAGGCGAATCGGAGAGGAGATGAGAGAACTTCTCTGTAACTTTGTCTTTCCACGACAGCATTGTCGTCGCTAATGGCGGCCAAAAAGGGATCAGAATCGGGAAAAAGCAGGAACCCTAATTCTGAAATGTCTTAGATCTCACGTTGTAGAAAAAGAAAGAGAGAGAGTTTTTCGAGAGAGAAGAAGAGAGTTTTAGAGAGAGAAAAGTGATGGCTTGCCCAAGTTTGACGAGGAGAAGGGAAGGAGCGTTAGTGAAGGAGAGTCACGGCACAGCAACTAACCGGAAAGTTAGGTATCTTTCGGACAAAAGTACAGTATTTTCAAGGTTTGTTAAAAATAATAATAATAATAATAATAATAAATAATAATAATTTAGGCTATTTTACAAGGTTAAAAACTTAACTCAAACACTCTTTGGAATCCTAATCCATTTTTCAATTCAATGATACACATAAAATGATAGTTCTCATGATAAAATTAGTGAGCCATTAAAAAATTTTATTTTTATCATTGAAGAAAAAAAAAAAAAAAAAAAAACCTTATTCATGAACAATTTAATTATTTTTACTTTTCAATTCTTAAAATTTATTCACGTATCAGTAGTGCTCTAATAATAATTTCAGATGAATATGGTCAACATCTCGAGCCCCTAAACTCCATTTCTTACACTCAATAATTATGTCGGTGACTTCTAACTTTCAATTTGGTCCTTTTCAACTCGGTCTAGATATGGTCCACCACTTCTGCCACAATTCACGGCAGAAATTACCTTGTATAGTGCCTTGCTTCAAGTATATATATATATATTGAAATTTTTGTGCCAAATAGCGAAATTAGAATGGAGTCACATGGTTGTGAAATACAATATGTTGCTAATGATAAAAATGGGCTGAAGCCCAATAAGCTTAAGGCTTAAGCTTAAGCATAAGCTGTTTGTTAAAGTCATGTAGATGGGCTAAAGTCCTTTAAACGGCCCATTGTGATAATTCATGATCTCACATGGTTGTAAAATTATATGTTGGTGATGACAAAAATGGGCTCGAGCCCAATAAGATTAAACAGTTTTCGTATATGGACTGGACTGCTTAAAATCATATCCATGGGTTAAAAGTCTATTAAACTTGGACATTTGGCCCATTGACATAATTCACTATATATTCACAATTTGATGTGGCTCCATCACAAGTTGTGACCCAATTGGGCCAATTATCTGATCGTTTTTTTGGTTAAAAGGTATAAGCTTCAATTATCTGATCTTTGCTTCTTCATTTTTTTCTTCTTTTTCTTCTGTGTGGAGGGAAACACAAATACAGACTTACCTGCACGGAAAGTTAGGCACTTTATCAATTAGGTCACGGATTGTTTTTCAATTCGTGAAAATTGTTTTCCCTGATTCAACAACCTTTAACTGACTTCGTAATTGTGAAAAAAAAAGAAAATAAAAGAAAAAAACATATAAATTGAGGTATATGGTTTTGCTTGTTTTCTTTTTAATCAATTCTTTGTAAAATTAAAATCCAAAACATATAAATTTAAAAAATTTATTTGTCGATTGCAACTCGTGCACACACTCACACACCACACATAATAATTAATAATGACAGCTATGATAAATAATAATGACTAATATCATAAATTCTTCACCACATACATAAATTGAGGTATATGGTTTTGCTTGTTTTCTTTTTAATCAATTCTTTGTAAAAGTAAAATCCAAAACATATAAATTTAAAAATTTTATTTGTCGATTGCAACTCGTGCACACACACTCACACACCACACATAATAATTAATAATGACAGCTATAATAAATAATAATGACTAATATCATAAATTCTTCACCACATACTGTATGCCCATTTTAAAGTATGAAGGTTAAAATGTCATCAAACATGAGATTTTTGTCAAAGCTTTAATTTTTCCAGTCAAAATCCAGGCTCCAAAAATAAATAACATTGAATGTTTTGCTTGCTCACTTTGATGACATTCACCATTCAAATGGTATTCAATAGTATAGGCTGCACCCCATTAATATTTATTTACACACCTTCCAAATTAGGAAACAATGGGTGTGCATAGGAGAGAGATTTATATATATACACACACTATATACGAAAAGACTCATATTTAAATTCAAATTCAAACTCCTTTTTATTTTTTCAAGGCTCAGTTTGCTTGAAAAGAAGAAGTAATGAAGGGGTGCTTGGTTTGTAACTATAAAAACAGTTTTCTGTTGTCGAAAAATTGAAAATATAAAACTGTACAAAAAACTCTTCTTAGTTCAGTTTTCTGAAAATATAAAAAAGTCTGTTTTCAAATAACAGTCTTTTATAATTCTCTAAAAATTGTTCTCCATTTTCTAAGTTTCTAAGAACTGTTTTCAGAGTTACAAATTAAACAAATCCGAAATGACTCGGCTCTATTTGTTTCGAAGTTCAGAAAATATATATTTATTTTTTAGGTAAAATATTTTTTATTTTTTCGGTGTTTGGCAAATATGTAGGTCGAATTCATTAGGCGAAACGTGTAAAATAATTTGTCCAAAATTAATGGGTAAGTTATTTTTGTTAGGTATTATTTTTTTTCCTTGTGACGGCTGGAATTTCCATAACCCGAAGCGTCAGTGAGTAACCCAAAAACTGACCAGATAACGAGTCTGAAATGCGGAAGCAATAAAAAGAAAAGAGGTCTCTAGAGATGGACACCACCATTAAGACAACACAATGACCTTCTAAGAAGTCACGAAACTCAAAAAGAAAATGAATGCGGAAGCTAAAGTTAAAATAGATCAACTATGGAATTAGAGGTAAAATAGTCATTTCAAAATAAAACTAGATGCGACGGTGCATACCATTGGATAACCAATGAAAATTTGATAAACTTAGGCTCAAGAATCACCTGATTTGGAGTTAAAATGAGTGAAATATGAAATTTCAAAATTTGGTTAAAAAGTTGCAAATAAGACACCCTGTGCCGTGGTGTGATCGATCATAAAATGTATGAACAATGGAGCTTCCAAGAAGACCCCAGGTGCGATTGATCGTACTAAGGGTGCGATTGATCGTACTAAGGGTGCAATCGATCGTAGAGTGCACGAACAATGAACTGCCAAGATAACCTAAGGTGCGATCGATCATAGGGTGCGCAAACGATGAAACTGCCAAAATGGACCAAGGTGCAATCGATCGCACCCAATTGTGATCGGTCATACTCACCTGCAAATAGGGAGAGCAATTTGACCCAATCCCGCGGTTACCCTCCCCGTTTTTGTTGGTTTTAGGGGACCATTTTACTTATTTGGGCGGGGATGGTTTGATGTAATAAAAACCCAGACGGATTTGGTGCGGGGGCGGGGGGAGGTCACTCCGCACCACCCCGCCCCGTTTAGATAAGCAAATTACTTAAGTACCTTTATTTCATTAGTATATATATTTTCGACTATATATTAAGTACCCTATATAACAATATTAAAGTATCAAATGAATTTGATTAAAAAGAAAGTTGTAAAAGTGAAGAATTGAAGATGATGAAAAAAAAAAAGAAAAGAAAGAAGAAGAAGCAAATCTATTTCAATAATAAATAAATTATGGTCTTAAACGGGGCGGGGCGGGGCGGGTACCCGCGAGGGTAAAAATATTAAACAGTTACGGGGATGGGGTGGAAAGTTCTCCCGTTTTTGCGATTTTGGGCAGGGACGAAAGCAAAGTTTTTAAACGGTTGTGGGGTCGGGGGAGGGTACACCCGCCCAAACCCGCCTCCGTTGCCATCCCTACCTGCGAACGATCACCTGGAACTTGAAAGTTTTGAAAATCTTGGGAAGATGAGACTTTTTGGAAATTTTTTGTGAAGAAACCCCCCCTCAAATTTGATCCTTAGATCCCTTATGATTCATACCAAGAAAGATAAGTTAAATAAAAAGACGAAAATGCCCTCGAGTGCATGAAATGCCAAAGAAATAAATATTTGATGCAAAGTGACATAATTTACATACATTAGAAGTGTTTGGCCTTGGCCTCATTACATATATGTCAAGTTTACACAAAAGAGAGTACTTGGGTGGAAATTACACACACATAAGGAAGCTAAGCGAGCTTCTAACTATATTACACATTGGCAACTCCAAAAGATACATACAACATGCTAACACCTGCATGCTAATGACATACAAAAGATGTTCAAAACGTAAACATAAGTCTGAGCTAAGGATGATGCGCATCCAAGAAGAGTACCTCCTTGCCTGAAAAACAATAATCAATTAGGGAGAGTAATTTGAATTACTCCGTAGGACAATGCATATGCGCGTAATATAAACAAATAAATGTGGATCATGCCTCCTAACGTCTAGTGTCAAGGTGAAGCTAATGAATCATCCTAAAACTAACTTTTAAGCATTTTAAACGCAATTCACAATAAGTAATGCATTTAAACAATATTGGAACAACCAATGCAAAATAACAAGTTACAATTACATACTATTGTCAACTTGGAAATAAAATGTGAAATTAAACAATTAGAATATCTTGGACATCATGTTCAGATGTGAACCAAGACAAATTAGCCATTTTGGGTTAGGAGCCAACCCGTAACTACCCAAGTGGCCACTATATTGGGGAGAACTCATACCTCCCGCACTAAAACCGTACTCTAATTATGTCAGGAAACAAATGCTCCAAGAATCCAAAATTAATAATTAATATCACAACGCATACATAAGTATACAATGCACTTAATCATTTTCCATGCAAAATCAAGGTTGGAACAACACATTCCATGCTCTAAGTCTTTAAGACTAAAATGTCATTATAATGACAAGTCCACAATATGAATAATACTACACTAGTGTAATGATATAAACTTTTGAAGTCAATTCATGCTAAAATAGTAAGCCTTAAACATTTAATTAAACAACACATAGTATTAAGCTCACAATGAAATAATTGGCAAAAATCATGTAAGAATTCCACAATTACAACTATATGAAATTACTAGAAAATAATCCCCTACCAAATGAAATAACAAGCTTTACAAAGGATACATCATATACATGCTTGAGTGTTATGAAAACTTAGGTCAAAACAAATACAACCCTCGTTTATATGCAATCCTACTACTCATATAACACGCATACAATATATATTAGACTTCAAAAACACAATAAAACACTAAGCTTATAAATAGAGTACACCCCTTACCTTACTAGAGAATGACTCTCTAGAATCCAAGGGAATTGTGTGTAAAAAATGAAATCCAAGAACAAGGTGTTGAAGACAATGGTGTAAAGAAACTTTTTTGCCTTCTATGGTGAAGCCAAGGGTTAAGGGAAGGTGGCCTAAATCAAGCTCTAAGGTTAGGGTTTAATGGTGGCTTAGGTGAGAGAATGGAGAATACAAAGGAAAAAATCTTTAGTTTCTCCACTAACCAAGTGATATACATATCACTTTACTACACTAGCACTACCTCTCACACACACACTTTAATCACACCCCTTCACTTGTCACAATCTAATGCATCCTCACAAGACTTAAAACCTACACTTGTCATCATCCAAACCTTCCACATGCTTCCAACCATTAATCAACACTTGGTCTAAGGAAAAAGTGACACTTGTCACACTTTTTCAAAAATTGCAAAAAGTCCCTCTTCTAAATATCTCACAAAAATAATTTCAAAAAGGTCCCTAAACCAAAAATATCTTAAAAAGATAATCGCAGAAAGACCCCCCAAAATGAAAATGTTTCCCGAAGAAAAAAATGCAATCATACACCCAAGAAATGAAAATGAACTAAAATGCTTTTTTACACAATTAAACTATGTATTAACAATAAAATAAAATAAAGTAAATGCATGAAATGTCGAAAACCTATTCAGGTACCTCGGGTCCTACAAAACCCTAAGGCAACAAGAAAAGAAATAAAAAATCAAATAATAAAATAAATAATAATAAATAAATAAATAATAATAAAAAATATCACGAAAAAGAAAAAGATGACACAGTCATCACATCCCTCATAAATATTTTACGACAACCAAATATCATAAAAAAATTATTTTTTGAAAAATATTTTACATCCAAAGAGTGTTATGATTTTTTTGTGTTTGATACATTAAAAGGATTAGGTTATTTCGGGAAAGACATTAAGCCAACTTCAATCTTTTTACTAAAGTATGACTAGTTAGTTTTGTTATTTTTCTAAAAATGGAGGAAAAGAAAGAAATGCTAACATTTTTAATGAAATTTGTTAATTATTTGCCCTAATTTTTATGGAAGACAAAATATATATAAAAAAATCGTATGGTAGTAAATTCATTAAAATATTTTTCTTTCATTTCTTTCTCTAAATTACTATCATTTTATTTTTTTACTTTTATTAATCAACCTAATTAGTTAGTTAACACTATCATTTCTTTTACTTTCTCCTCTCAATCACAAGTCTAAATAGATAAATCTTCGATTATGTACAATTGTCCGCAAATCACATTTATCAATTGAGTTCGAATTTATCATCTCAAAAAGAGTAGAACACAAAATCCCTCTCATGTACAGAGCTCCTATATCCCACTTTTGAACATTATTTAATTTTCCTACCATTTTGAGAAATAGGTAAAATATTACTAAACTGTAAATCTTTCGTAAGTCAAACTTTAATCCAATTCTGGTAAAAATGACACACACTAACCTTCAAAAGAAATATCCCCTCCTGTCCTCCACCCCCCCCCCCCCCCCCACCTAAATAATATTTCTTCTTTTAAATTATTTTAATGAAAAAAAGATCTGGCAAGTAGCAAAAGTGTTTATATTAATTAACTAAAAACAATTTGTTCTCATTCTCTTCAAATGTTAAAAAAATTACACCAAATCATCAAATGTAATCAAGAGTCAACCATTCCCATGAAAACTAGTTACTCCACGAGTACACTGCACACACATTCTTGCAGAGAAAAAGATGCCCCCCTCTCTCACTCTCTCTCTCTGCACCTCCTGACATCCAAAGAAAGACAAAGGTAGGCCACCAAAGGGAAAGTAAATCCCCAAACACCACAAAACCAAAATCAAAACCCTCTTTTTCTCTCTCTTTGAGTACAAAGGAAGCAAAATCAAGGTGTTCAATTCAATCCCATCTCATTTTCTTCACCAAAAGCCATGATTTGATCCATCAATCAAACACTCCCTCACAATCCCACCAAATGGGTATTTTTTTTATACCCACAAAACCCGTTTGCCTCTTCTCTCTCCTCCTCATCCTCTTCACCATTCTCGACCTCAACCCACTCTCTGAATCTGCATCAGAGTACACCACTCTGGTCTACAAGGGCTGTGCAAAGCAAGCAATGTCAGATCCAACCGGGGTTTACTCACAAGCCCTCTCAACCCTATTCGGCACTCTGGTTTCCCAATCCTCCAAATCCAAGTTCTTCAAAACCACCACCGGTAGTGCCCAAACCACCATCACTGGTCTCTTCCAGTGCAGAGGCGACCTCAGCAATGTCGAGTGCTACAACTGTGTGAGCCAGCTACCAATCCTCACCGACAAGCTCTGTGGCAAGCTCGTCGCCGCTAGAATCCAGCTCCTCGGGTGCTACATGCTGTATGAAGTTGCCGGATTCGCCCAAATCTCCGGCATGGAGATGCTGTTCAAGACTTGTGGCGCCACAAATGTGGCCGGGAGCGGGTTTGAGGAGCGGAGGGACACCGCCTTTTCGACGCTGGAGAATGGGGTTGTGGGCGGCAATGGGTTCTATGCCGGGAGCTATCAGTCTGTGTATATGCTGGGGCAATGTGAGGGTGATGTGGGGAGTGCTGATTGCGGTGAGTGTGTGAAAAGTGCTGTTGAGAGAGCTCAGGTTGAGTGTGGAAGCTCCATTTCAGGACAAGTTTATCTGCACAAGTGCTTTATTAGCTATAGTTATTATCCAAATGGGGTCCCCAGAAGATCTTCATCATCATCTGAATCTGATTCTTCACCTTCATCTGGTAAAATGTCATTGATTTTTTATTTTTTATTTTTTGGGGTTAGGGTTTGATTTATTGATTTGGTCCTACAAACAATTTTTTTTGGTTTAACTTGGATTGGTGGTCTCTATCTTTATATTATTGTATTTTTAATGCTTGAAAGTGAGATTTTAATTTGGGATTTGTTTGGTTTTGATTCAATGTAGGGACAGGGCATAATACAGGGAAGACAGTAGCAATTATAGTAGGAGGGACAGCTGGAGTGGGGTTTCTAGTAATTTGTTTGCTGTTTGCTAGAAATTTGATGAAGAAACATGATGGTGAGTGAATAGAGACAATGAAATGAATGGTTAATTATAAATTTTTTATTTATTTAATGTTTTCTTATGCTTTTTTGGTTGAAAATTTGCTTCATTTTTATTTTTTTGGCAGATTTCTGAATGAGGAGATGAATGTAAAAGAACCAAGATTCTTCATGAGGTGAATTTTTTTTTTTGGTATTTTGTTTTCTTTTCAAAGAGGGAATAGGTTTTAAAGAGAGAGTTGTTACAGTTGGTAAATGTTTGCTGTTAATAGAAGAAGATGAGCCATGAAAATGAACCCGAATTCCTTTCAAGTACAAAATTTTATAGTGCTCTTTGTTGTGCATTTACATTGACAGATGCAACATCATTAATATCGGGAATGAAACACCGATGCAAAGATGTTTTGTTTTCGAAGTAAAGTTTTTTTTATCTGGGTGTATTGTGTTGCATAGGTGTTGCTTCAATGAAGTATAGTGCCTTTCGACGAGAGATTTGAAACAAGAAGTTTCGAGAAAATTAGTGCTTTTTCTAAATTATATGAACCCTAGTATTGTAGTCAGGAAAAAGCAGAATATTTGATGGAAGAATGAGGGATTCTTTTGAACAACCGGTTCTAATAGAAATGCCTTATATCTTGAAATTAATTTATCAAGGTGATGATAAAATCCATCGCTTACGCACTTGTTACACAACAAGTGCTTAGAGGAAGGGACAATGATGTAATTGTGTTGCATTTCTTGCATTTTCAATGTATTTACACAAAAATATATATATATAGTATAAGAATTTGTAATGTAGAGGACCTAATTGGTGGAAAAATAACTAGAATTTCTCGGAGGAAAAGAAAAATATGTAAGAGGTGAATATTTTTCATTTGGGAATGGTGATAGAAATAATTGGTTTTGGCCTTCTCTATTGGGCTCATTGAATGTGGTTGTTTCTCTTTCTCTTTACAGAATATGCTTCTGTGTTTTCTTCACAACTTTTTCTGCTTTAGAGAAGATATTGTGTGTGTGTTTGTGTTTTGTTTGTGTTTATTTAAGGTTAATAACAATGACATGCACTTGCAAAACATGAAATGATTAATCAAAGGCCCTGTTAGTGAACTGTCTTAGTCTATAATGACGACAACTAAACTAGATATGGTCACAAATAAATGCAGCTTTCAGGAGAAAAGGGCTTTTGGAAAGAGATGGTTTGCCAATAATGTTTTCATTTTGAAAATGATAGAATAAAGTTGTATTATTGTTGTTGTTATTACTTTGTTGTTGGAACAATATTGTGGTAGTACTGTCCCGATTTTCACTGTACACATGGTGGTTTTTTAGGTGTGACTATTAGGAACTTTTTGTGTTGGCTCTGTCATGAAAATGTGCATTGTGCATAGTAGTTACCTGCCATTCAACCAATTCAATCTTCTTTTTTTAATTAATTAATTAATTATTATTATTATTATTATTATTTTTTTTTGTGACGGTGGTAAAGCAAACACACGCGCAAACACTCAACCTACGTGGAGCTCGAACACTCAACTTCCTCTCTGAGGAGAGAGAGCTTAACTTGAACTTAATTTCGTTAGCTCCGGTTTGGTATGGACTGGTTGAATTTCGCTTAAATTAGTTTCAAATTACCAGTAACATTTTGATGATAATGATTTAGGCTGGTTTCGAATTGGCCTTGGATTGCATGGGACCTAGTTCAAGTCCTATTCGAATTTGGTCAAATGAGAAAAATTTAGACCTAAGAATAAAAATAAATGATAAATGGCATTATGGCAATAATATAAGACATTATATATATATATAATTTTATTTTTTGATTCACTGGGAAAATTTTCTAGACAAGTAGAGTTGTTTTTCAGGAACTTGATCGTACTCAACATAAATATCAAAACTCAGAACATAAATATCTTACTCCGTATTAAACTCTCACGAGGACCATTTAGTAATTTACCAAAACTCTATACTTATATAGGAATAAGAATGTGAACAATTTGAAGGCAGTGAAAAGCTTAATTAAATTGAATTATATAATTATTGATGAGTTTAAAAGACACTGTTTGGAGTACTGCATTCGTAGTTTGACTTTAAAATTTTATAAAAAAAATTAATGAAAATTTAAAATAAAATTTCTTCAATTCCAAAATTAAATTCCCCAAAACACAAGATATCTGTTTTTTATATCTTGAAACAAAACAAACATTGCCACATGGCTTGTCTTTTAGTTTACTAAGAGGAAAAAGAAAATCTCTCTTCAACACGTTTTGTTTTGTGTTGTGAAAAATTATTCATCGCAACAATTGCATGTTTTGTGATGTGAAAAATTATTCATTACAGCAATTGCAACTCGTGATACAATCGCTGAATCTAAACACTTTACCAAAATATATATATATATATTTTTTAATTTTATTATAGGTTTTCTTTGTTTTAGTGAAGTATTTGTAACCCTCTATTCTATTACGTCAGTGTTAATCGCTCCAATGAATAATTTCTCATTGTTTGAACTTAATTGTAACTTATTATTGAGACATGGTTTCTTGACCTTGTGACCAATGGTTACTCCAAAGTGAATACAGAAACTTGTGAGCGAGAGAGAGATTGATTCTTGACAAAATGGAAAGTTTAAAATATTGAATTATCTGTAATCTATATATTTTGATACATGCACTAAAATGTCGTGTATTTATAGATTTTTTTATTTACCCACCGTCATGAAAAACTTTAAAGAATAGTATAATATTAGTGGAGTTAGTCTACTATTGAGTTTATTTTTATAAAAAAAGAGAGAATTATATCTAGTCCATATTTATTAGTATTTCTACCTTTTTAGCATTATATTATTATAAATTTTTATTTTTTTAAACAAGTCGATTACTAAAAGAAAATAGACTACACTGCATCATCATCTTGACAGTGAGGGCATAGGTGTCCAATATTTATCTCAAAAATGATTTTAAAAATTTAAAAGTGGTCCAAAAGAGCGATAAAAGACCGAACTATCGAATGAAATACAATGTTTGTGAAGTCCATCATACATACACAATGGGGCACACGTGGACCGAAGACTGAACTGTTGAATGAGACACAATGCTTGTGAGGTCCCATAATTTAAGTCACATCAAACGGGAGCGGTGGAGTAGCATACTTAGTATGTCTGAGCAAAGAGAGGTATAGTTGTTTTTTGAATGATAAACTTAATACACTTAAAAAAACTAATTTTATAATTAATAAATATAATAATACACTACTAATACAGTACGGTATTGTTTTTTTCACTCCCATTTAGTAATTTTTTTTTTTTTTTTTTTTTTTTTAGAATTTATATCTAATGACAACCTTCTAGGTTAGGATTTGAAAAAGGTAAATAAACTAAAATGATTTGGAATGAAAACTATGTTTTGTGTTTTGAATAGACTAATAATTCAGTAATTAAAAATAGAAAAATAATTTAATTGACAACTATAAAACTGAATAAAAACTAATTCACATAAAAATTTAATGTGATTATTTTAAAATTTCAACTCAAATACAATTATTTTCCTTCCAACACAAAAATTTCATTTGAAGTTTTGAATATCATTAAAAATGAATGATTTTATTAATTTGTTTGTGTTTTTTTTTTAATCATAATTAATGTTTTGTTAAATTTTCAATTGTTAATTTATTTTTAGAATTTTTTTATTTTGAAAGGGCATTTTATATTTTGGTTTTAAATTATCTATTTTTACACCACGTGAAGTATTGATTTTTGTCTCGGGCCATTCTGTAAGGGGGTTGTGGTTGTGGGTCACGTGAGCTGTTACGAATGTTTAAAACTGTTGCAATGAGCTGTCACCAATTGATCTTTTATATACGCAGATGGACACAAAACAATTTGAATAACGTTTGGTTTTAAATCCACTGAATCAATACAAAGGAAGAAAATATATACCATGTGACTCTCACTCCCATCAATATATTGATTGTTTTTTTATTGATACGATTATTCACTTTAGGTTTTTTTTGTATTAAAAGGTATTTTCCTATCAATAATTAATGCTTCGTTAGTTAGAAGGATAGAGAGAGGACCCCTATTTCCTAAAGAAAGGTATGATATTCAAGGTTCGTACTTCAGTCGAGACATGTCTGACCAAAGAGAGGTAGAGTTGTTTTTTGAATGATGAACTGAATACACTTAAAAAAAACCTAATTTTATAATTAATAAATATAATAATACACTACTAATACAGTACAGTATTTTTTTTCACTCCCATTTAGTAATTTTTTGTTTTTGTTTTTTTTTTTTTTTTTTTTTTTTTTTTTTTTTTTTAGAATTTATATCTAATCACAACCTTCTAGGTTAGGATTTGAAAAAGGTAAATAAACTAAAACGATTTGGAATGAAAACTACAACGGGAGCTGTAAGGTGGAGTAGTATACTTGGTATGTCTGAGCAAAGAGAGGTAGGGTTGTTTTTTGAGTGATGAACTTAATACACTTAAAAAAACTAATTTTATAATTAATAAATGTAATAATACACTACTAATACAATACAGTATTGTTTTTTTCACTCCCATTTAGTAAATTTTTTTTTTTTTTAGAATTTATATCTAATCACAACCTTCTAGGTTAGGATTTGAAAAAGGTAAATAAACTAAAATGATTTGGAATGAAAACTATGTTTTGTGTTTTGAATAGACGAATAATTCAGTAATTAAAAATAGAAAAATAATTTAATTGACAACTATAGAACCGAATAAAAACTAATTCACATAAAAATTTAATGTGATTATTTTAAAATTTCAACTCAAATACAATTGTTTTCCTTCCAACACAAAAATTTCATTTAAAGTTTTGAATATCAACAAAAATGGATGATTTTATTAATTTGTTTGTGTGTTTTTTTTTTTTAATCATAATTATTGTTTTGTTAAATTTTCAATTGTTAATTTATTTTTGGAAAGCTTTTATTTTGAAAGGGTATTTTATATTTTGGTTTAAAATTATCTATTTTTACACCACGTGAAGTCGGTGAAGTATTGATTTTTGTCTCGGGCCATACTGTAAGATGGTTGTGGGTCATGTGAGAATGTTTAAAACTGTTGCAATGAGCTGTCACCAGTTGATCTTTTATATACGCAGATGGACACAAAGCAATTTGAATAACGTTTGGTTTTAAATCCACTGAATCAATACAAAGGAAGAAAATATATACCATGTGACTCTCACTCTATATTGATTGTTTTTTTGTTGATACGTTTATTAACTTTAGGTTTTTTTTTTTTTTTTGTTTTAAAAGGTATTTTCCTATCAATAATTAATACTTCGTTAGTTAGAAGGACGGAAAAATTGATGAAAGATACAGAGAGAGGACAGTTAGTTAGAAGGACTGAAAAATAGATGAAAGAAAAAGGGTATGAGATTCAAGGTTTAATGGAGAGGCATGTGTGTATGAATACTATATATGAAAAAATAAATAATAAAAATGATGAAATAAATAAATAAATAAATATATATATATATATATATATATATATATATATATTTCGTAGGAAAGAAAAGAGAATTTTTTATTTTTTATACTCCCGTATATTTTTTTTACCAATATATCCTCGCTGTATAAAATAATAAGTTATTCATTTTAATTTTTTTTTTAAAAAGTTAAAATTAAAAATTATATATGTACAAATAGTTATTCATTTTCTCTCCCCTCCAATTTTGGAGGGATAGAAAAACAAGAAGAAAGAGGGATGAGGCATCCCTCCTGTTCATTCATCTCTTCCCTTCTCTCCAACCAAACACAAAAAGTTTCGTTTATCCCTTCTCAATCATTCCCTCCAACCAACCAAACATAGCATAAAAGTTGTTATTACATTATACAATTTTTATTTTTACTTCTAATATGAATGAAATTTTCAGGTTCAAAAGGG